GATTAGAAACGATAGCTACAGATGTTGATCCGACAGATATTGATAATCAAATGTAATTATGGCAACGTGGCCAGTCAAAGAGAAAGTATATACATGTGTACAGTACAGCATCACGTTCAGCAATATCACCTTACATCTGTACATTTCTATACGTCTCTGTGTAACACTCACACTTGACAGTTAAAGGGATGTGGGGGTGTGACTGTTCTTGGGGGCATGTGAGATGACATTTGAGGCTCCATTACTGTGGCTGAAAATGGGTTTAATTTATCTTGTCCAAAGTATCAATAAAACCAATATATAACATTGTTCTGAGTTTCGTTATCACTGTCAGTATCAGCAGAGCTAACTGGCCACATGGTAAGAAACACTACAGGCACTGCTATTGAACGTAGGCATGCATGGAGCAATCATATCCTTAGTTTCATTACATTTTTCCATTGGGTATTTGTTTAGAATACCTTATCTGTAAAATACACATATGTTACATACATGTTCAGTGAAGTAACTGAGACTCGATAGTAAAAAGGAGAGCTACGTCTACGTGTCGTAATGGTGACATTGGAAGAACCTTCAGCTTTCAGGCCCTTCCCCCAGAACCAGCTCCCAGTATGGATTTGGGGATGAGACATCCACTCTACTTTTTAAAACCTTCATTTTTGGTAAAGCTTATAGTTGGGACTGGATCAGGCGACCCTGTATTCACTCTTAGTTACGCTGCAGTAGGCCTAGACGCCTTGAGCCCTCCCATGATGCCCTGACTGTTTCTTCTTCACTCACCTCTTTCACTCCCCATGTGTTCTCCTCACCCCCAACCAGTCATGGCAGATGGCTGCCTCTTCCTGAGCCTGGTGCTGCCCTAGGTTTCTTCCTGTTAAAAGAGAGGTTTTCCTTCCCACTGTTGCCAAGTGCTTGTTCAAAGGAAGTTGTTTAATTGACAGGGTTTTTTTTCTGTGTTATTGTAAGGTCTTTACTTTACAATATAAAGCCCCCTGAGGCAACTGCTGTTGTGATTTGGTGCTGTATAAATAAAACTGAATAGAATTCAAAAGGAAATAATGTAACCTTTTGAAAATACTGACATGTAGCAGGTTATTATTTTTGATCATTGTTTCGATACAAAGTAATAAAATGAGCATTTTTGCTGGTGCTCAAACTGTACCAAATCAGAACTCACATCTTTGCCTCTCCTTTGTTTGTCTCTCAGTTCCTCAGAGTGTATCTTTTCTTTTCCCATAAGTGTGAAAGGTATATTTCTGTACATTCTTTTTTATATCCTTTTTGGATCAGGTATAGCCGTACCTGGCATACCTGTTAAGCAAGAGCTGGAAGTCGTTTGTCCTCCTGGATCCACGTTTTCCATAGTTTCACAATTCATCAATAATATTGTCATCTTGTATTCCCTGTATACTATCAATAAATTCTGTTTATGTGACCTCTGCTGCATGTCTGAAGGATCCCTCCTGTTTCCCCATTTTCTTTCTAAGATTCCTTCCGATTCTTTCCTCCTGGAACTCTCCTGGAAATCCTTTGGGTTTCCATGATTTTTTCTTCAACCGAATTGGGGGTCAAATTATAGATCGTGTCATTTGCTGTACAGATTGTCGAGCTCTAGGGGGTAGCAGTAGGAGGTGTGATTCCTGATGTCGGTGTACTGACTAACAAGCTGCTTTTGCTGCATTTTTTAATGTCTTTGATGGTGCAAACCAAACACACTTAAGGTTTTAGATTACTAGACTCTTGATTTATATAGTTCAACCCTATAGATATCAGATAAAAACACAATTTTCATAAAAATGACAAAATAATGACATGTCTGTACGTGTCATGGGGGGGGTTGGAGCGCATGATCCTGTTCAGTATATCTGAGTTTACTCAAGCTACACTTTAACAGATGAAAACATCAGGGGGTTCACTGCCTTTTAAAAGACATACACTGCCACCCAGTGGCTAAAGGTTTTTTATGACTTTACTTACTTCAAATAGCTCCAAAAACTGTTGCCACCTTTAGAGGGCCCCCTTGTCAAAGGTATTGTAGCAGATTTCCCCTCCGTTTTCTCTGCCATACAGAAAGATCAAAATACTTCATATTCTAAAGTATGAGACAAACAAATTGTGTGATTGGGCTTGTTGTACTCTTTGAAGAAAGGATGAGATTTAGTGATGTGACAATATAAGAAAGATCGTAAATGCCATTGTGTGCATTCACAAGCAGCAGGAGCAGATGGCATTTCAGAACCAATCACCATTTCAGATTCTATTGCCCAATCAGTTTTACATTTATATGTAAAGTAGCTTTCTGTTCCAGCAGACCAACAGATGGCTTGAAATGTAAGCTCGGGGACACTTATGTAAAGACTTTATGACTTCTGGTTCCCCATTCCAAACCAAAAACAGGTTTTAAAAATAGCAAGTGGAGGCAATGTGCAGACATTACGACACGTAATGTGATTTTATCTCATGACAGTGGAGAAGACGTAGTGTTTAATGGCTTGAAATATTAGACGATCCACTCGAGAATGGAGTTTTATTTATTATTTTTGTTGTTTATTGCCACTTTTGATTTACTCCATATCTCAAACAGACAGGGGTACTCAGGAGAGTTAGAAGTATAAATAACATAAAAGGGCTCCTGGGCTGGATTTAATGCAATAGTCTCAAGGGAAGAAAATATGAATAGTTCATATGTATTTAAGTCCACAGGTAGTTATTAACTCACTTTTGGGGGCGGTGCTTTAATATAATATGTATGTAATTTAAACTTTTTTACAGTGTATGTATAAGTGTATGTGTGCGTGTCACACACGATGACATGATGAAGAGAGCATTCAGAAACTACTTTTGTTTTATTTGTTTTTTTAATATATTTCTATTTATTAGGTAGTTTATTATCTAACAGCAGAATGGTGCAGTTTAATAATACATCTTAATTTTTTTTAATGTGATGTAATGTAATGTAAAATCTATACAGTACACAAAGTAAACAATGTGTAAAGTGCATTCACTGAATCAGAATTTCAGTGGCTCAGTGTAATTCCAGTAACTGGATCAAGTAAGTTACAATGCATAAATATAGGCTTACTTTTATTAAATTCCACCACAGTATGCTGTTGATTTGCACTGTTGCCTCATGTTGGGTAAATTGGCCATAGATTTCCATTTGTCAGCAGTCTGCAGTTGGTAGTTTATCCACCTTGGACAGACAGCCGACCTGTCCAGGGTGAACACTGCCTCACACCCTATGGCAGCTTAGATGGATGAATGATATTGTGAAATACCTTCAAATTTTTAACACAACTGGGCAACCGCTTCACCGCAAATGGTGAAGGTACAGTTAAACTGGATACAGATTAACAAAAATACTTATTTATAACAGCTGTAATTGAGTATAATTGATATATTGAAGCTGACATAACACAGAGAACTAAAAAAATCTTGATATTTCAAATAAATTTGTCTAATTTTATTCTTGTCTACTGACCTAAAATAAATAAGCCAATGGACTAGGCTGTTTTTTTCTTTATGTAAACCTTATGCCATCTTAACAAATGATGAAGTATCACCACAGTAAGTAGGATTATAAACTTCATTATGGCACCTTTTTATATGCCTTTGCTCAGATATGTTCCAGCAGATAAAGGGAAGTCAACAAAGAGAAAACTGTTTCTTTCGTGCTTATTTTTTTTTCTTTTCTTCTTACCACATATTGAGATGTTCCAGTAGATTAAAAACTGATCAGTGGAAGACAAGTGAAGGAAAATAACTGCATACAAAGAGGAGCAATTTTGTTCGATGAACAATAAGTTTGAAAAAAGTAAAGAAAAAAAAGCCACTCATTTCATGGCCCTTTTCTTTGGTTTAATAAAACAATAAAACAGACATTCACATTGAATACAAATCAAGTCTACAAAGAAACAGCACTTACTTTGCTAAAAAAAA